ATATCGCGGGTGGTCACTGTGACGTACCTGCTCCAGTTGTGAGTGTTGATAGATACATTCACTCTACTTTCAGCCTGTTTAGGTGAAGGTAGGTCGGCAGACCACAGCGGGCGAAGTAGGCTTACGCCAAAATTATTTGCCAAGACTTGCCGAATTCTTGAATCTGAGCAGGCAGCTTTTGGGCAAGCCATTAGGTGACCATAGCGGTCAAAGCTGCCAGCCATTTTGGTACGGCGTATATGGCCGTAGCGGCTGTAGCAGTTCTCTCAAGACCCATTGGGGCCTGCCGGAACCTCAGAGTGATGGATGCCATTGGACAACTCCACCTTCCACTGACCGCCTACCCCGAAATGATTGAAATTCGTGCCTTTTCTTGACTCTCCAAATTTCACCCTGGTGCCCGAGCCTTGGCAAAAAGATTTGCCTCCCTAATCGGGAGGCGCGTGTGTGACACCCTTGGAGTCACAGGGATTCCGTTGAATTTGTTCTCACTTTTTGCCTGTTTTGGTCTTAACCTCTACTTTGATAGACTCTTTATTTCGGGGGACCATCCATGTACTGTGCACTATGGTCCAACGAAGCGGCCACAGTACATGCGGATATCAAGGCTGATCACCGTGACGTACCTGCTCCAGTTGTGAGTGTTGATAGATACATCCCACTCTACTTTCGGGCTGTTTAGGTGGAGGTATACAGGTTGGCGGACTTTTCACGCCCCTGCCGTCCTTATCGCTCGTTCGACTCTCGGACTCTTGGATTTGGCATTGGCGTTGAAGGTTTGCAGAGAGAGTTCACGCTCACTTACCCCCCTGGATTCCTTAGGTTTTCACTTAGGCTGGCGAGTGGCAAGCCGCAATCGAGTCAGCGCGCACTTCCTAAGTGTGTGTTTGTGTGTGTGTGCGTGCACGTCGGGTTGCTTTGGATTCAGTCACTTTAGGGGAGCAGAACTGCAGGTGACGAAATGCAGAAATCGAAAAGAAAAGATGTCCGAAAATATATAGAGTAAAGATGGAGAAATTTGTAGACAACAATAGAAGTGTAGGAAAATGTGTAGAAGACCAACCTATCTAAACGTAGAATAGGGAAGTACCTCTTTATCTGGAAGTATCAACAAGTAGAGATTTTTAGAAAAATCCGAAAAGTGGGGGTTGCAAGAGAACATTATGGACATCATTCAGACTCTTGGAGACACGTGTAAAAGCGTAGACATTTGCAGAGGAGCTTCGCAAAGATTCTCGTTAAGAGAAAAGGAAAGTACAGTCCCGACACATCACATCACGACAGAAGCGAACCTGCTTTGGCTTTAGTCAAAAGTAAGAGCTGGTGGACAATGAATTTTGGTGTGCCATTTCAGTTTGTGGCGCATCAAGAACCCAAACAGAATCCGCTCGGTAAACTTCACCACGCCGAGACGAGATGAATTCAGATGAGATGGGTAGGTACAAGAACATACAAGAAGCAGAGTCACAAGCAGTCCTTTGCATTGCGCCTGGCGTGTCCCAAAAAATTCCATGGAACCATGGCGAAGAGACTTGTGCCTTGGTAGCTAAGCAGGTCTCTCGAGAGCCTGAAAGAGATGTGAGGATTGTCGGTATTTTCCATCGATAGCTATCACAGGTCTTGATTTGCTTTCCAAGATGGGGTAGTTGCCATTGTGTTTTAAACCTTTTTGGATTATAATTATATAGCTATAGTTCGAAGGCTCGATCTCTCAGACAGCCATTTAGACAAGAAACTGTTCTCTTACAGAGACCAGCAAGAGCAGTCGCAGTGCACGCTCAGAGTGTGTTGATAATCTGGCATACAATGTTACACTTGCTAGCAAGTAGACGAGAATTCAAACGATGTGGGTAGGATAAGTAGAGGACAGGATTCGATAGAGCAACAAACTGCTGAGAACTCCAAACAAGGTACCTTGGTACTCTGAGCACGTTCATTTCTAAGGGAGGATTCACCAGGGTTCATGCCTCCGACCAAGGTTATGGGCCCCTCTCCAGGGACCGGACTCTTTGCCTCTCGCCCTTGCTCAGCGTGGGGGCTGGAAGTGGGAATCCTCTGGACTAGTCGGGGCTAGGTTGATGAAGATACCTTTGAAATGCTTTTCATGTTTTTTCCACACATGCTGGTGTCGCGTTCTCCCGTCTCCGGCCATCTACCATTAACTCACATCACAGCTCCAGTCACACAACTCACACAGCACAACTTACACAACTGAACCCAAACACTTTCTGCTGCAGGGTTGTGGTTGTTGTTGTTGTTGTTGTTGCTGCTGCTGGTGGTGGTGTTGTTGTTGTTGTTGTCGTTGTAGTTTCATAGTGCTGGTTCTCCTTAGTCACTGTCACTGGCCCTCCTCGACTCCTCCGCTGCGTTCTACAGCTCTGTAGGTGTCGGATGTTGCGAGGTATTTCGATGACGTGCCGCGCACTAGATGCAACCGTGTGTCACCAAGCCTGAGACTCCCCCGGGGGGACTCCCCCCAGTCCGCTCACCAGCAACACACCGTGTTTACAGAACGCATGCTTCCCATTCCCCCACGGCATAGAGCTCGTTCCGGACCGCAGCAGGGGCACACCCCCTTACAGAGCAACAAAATGCAGCGGAGGAACACAGCAATAGCAGAACCTCCCAGAGAGCAGCAAGCAGTAGCCGAAGAGCGCCGGGCAGCGTCAGACCCTCTACAGAGCAGCAGGTGGACCGCGTCAACGCGAAGGAGTGGTGACGACCAAGGGAAAGTGCGTTTGCGGCTCTGTGCTGTTGTGGAACCGGAAGCACGCTCAGCTCGCGCAACTCAACTCACACGACACACGTTCGGCAACCACTGCTTTCTGTGCGCGAACTAGCGGACGGTGATGTGGACACTTTATTGTCTTCAGTCGCGAGTCTTGATGATATAGACATGGTTGCATCACCACCATCAAGTTACATCACGCATCAAAACGTGACATCATTTGTCGTCCCATCTATGATAGTTCGATTCAGAAACGGGTTCATCTGCAAAGTCTTCTCATTTTTCTCATTATTGCGGTGCCTTCGGACCACTCTGTTCATCATTTGCGTCCACTTGTTTGCTATCAGTCCTCTTCCGTCCGCTTTTGTTCCTTTATGTTATACATTGTTGTGCCTTCCCTGCAACAATCATGGAAGTGGACAACCCCCTCTTGGTAGAGGAAAATAGCCTTCCAAGGGGCCACTGTCCACTTCCATGATTGTTTCAGGAAGTGTAGATGCTATAAAACATCTACAGTATAAACACACAAGTTTGACACATGTTTTCTTTTTTTCTTGAGGAATTGCTCATCAGCGCGGGAGCGCGGTTGCTCAGGGATTCGCGAGCTGTGCTGAGGTGCATGAGCCTCGAGCGAGCAAGAGCCGGTGGCCTGGGATGGAAGTGAGAGATTGATCCCCCAGGAGAATTGGAAGTGAAAGATAGTTTTGAAGTTGACAGATGTACTGTATTGGGAATGAAAGCTTCAGCTTGGCAATTATGAAGTAGTTTGTCAAATCCTTCTACTTGGCAGCAGCTGACCCTGACTCACCAAAGAGGTACTCACGAGAATCAAAAGATGATGGGAAGTCAATGGCTGACCAAGAGGAGGTGCATGTTTCAAGACTTCGCTAGTGGAATTGTGAATTGTGTGTGTACACCTTGGAATCACAGGTTACCTCTTGGTGTTTGATAGGATTGGCAGGAGCACACACACACAGCATCCATGACCCAGCGTGTGCAACGAAGCTGCGGTCATGGATGGGAAGGGAAGGCTGATCACCTTCCTGTACCTGCGGTTTGTGATGGTTTGTGAAGGTTTTAGCCACGCTCCAATCGTAGAGGTCCTCAGGCCGTTGCAGGATGATTCAGGTCGGCAGATGAGAACGTTCGTTGTCGATCTCATCGCTTTTTGGAGTCTTCTGAAACCTTTGGAAGCCCTGGACCTCATTGAGCTTTTGAAACTTGACTCCAATGTCGTGGTCAGACCTCCTGACATGCACTTCCTCCTGGTTTCCTAGGTTTGTTCACCTAGGTCCGAGTGGCGTGCGGCACTCACATCGTACGTGTGCACTTCCTGAGTGTGTCTGGCTTTGTGCCAGCCTGGAGTGAGCTCGAAGAGTGCCCTCCGTGGCCCTGTTGAGCAGGGGTTTGTCTCGTTTCCAACCGGAGAAGGTGTAGCCCGCAGCGAGCGTAGGAGGTTTATGATAATAGCAAACGTTGATTAAGACTTGCATCATGGTGTCCTTTGAGCAGGTTTTTTTGCCTAGGTGCCCGCAGCGGGCGGTTAATGAAGGTGTACGGAGACACTGGGTGATCAATGTGATGGCTTGCTCCACATTGGCTTGGATGCTGGGGGTCCATGTGCGAGAAGATGGCAGGAGAAGATCAATGGACGCCTTGTGGAGATACTGGAGTGCTTTGGCCGACAAAGTTTCACAATTTCAGCATGTTGAATCGAAAAGCATAATTTGGGGCACCTCTCTCCTTGAGTTTCGAGGTGCCTCATTTAGAGTTTTGCACTGTGGCCTAAGTTGCCCAGGCTAGACTTGTACTTTCAATTGTTCTTGTGCAGTGTAGCCAGCCCGAACTCATCTGGACTGAGGCGGAAGTGTGCCAAGTTGAGGAGCCGTGCAGAGCAGGAGGCAGGGCTGCAAACTGTACATTGAAGTCATGGAGTCGCTATTCGGTTCCTGTAAGTCTGAAGCTTCGGTGTCACTATAGGTGTGTTGGTCATGTCATATCATGTCTAAAAGAATTTTGCAATAGTTTTCCTTCCTGAGTGGTTGAAACACCGGTCCAACCGGTCACTTGCTTCAAAAACCTTCAGGAGAAGAACCGCAAAACTTTGCAGGAGGAGTTGGAGGATAGAAAGCTGTGAGCACACGGCAAAAGGAAGGAACTAGCCGACCGAAACCATCTGAAACCATCTGAGGTCAATACTTTGATTCTATCCAGTTTCCATGGACACTATATGGCATGAATGCGACGGACGTCCATGCTACGCATTATAATATAAGTGGATGGATGGGTGGACGGATGGAGGGAGGGATGGAGGGATGGAGGGACGGATGGATTGATCAATCGATAGATAGATACACACATGGTTGTCGATCTAAAGGTCCTAGACAGCATTGTGTATGACGATGACCCGGAACATATCAAAATCTCATTTGGCGAATTTTTTCTCGAGTTGGCGAAAGTAAATTTTTTTTGGCGAAAGATCTGGCGAAAGATTAAATATGTACTTTTGTATGAATGTTCATTTGCTTCCTGAACAGCTGGTGGCAGTGACTCAGAAGTTAGATGAGCTGTGGAAGTTAGATAGCCTGCTGCTGCGGCTGCTACTACTACTACTACTACTACTAGCACTAGCACTACCACTACCACTACTACTACTACTTCTTCTACTACTTCTACTACTTCTACTACTTCTCCTACTACTACTACTACTATTCCTGCTCCTGCTTTGGGGGGGTGGCTTTGCCACAAAACTCTACCCCGCAAAACGCGACAGTTTGGCGGAAGTTCAGCTCAAGATTGGCGAACGTTCACCCTGCCACATCTGACCCCCAGCCCATTATGAGTAAGTCTGAGTGACCGGCTATCAAAAGAGACGTACAGGGTGTCAACAGTTAAGTAGAAGACACATGCTGACAAACAGTGAAGTTTCTATTTTGTGTTTGCCAGTAAAGAAGAAGCCATTGACGTGAACAAAGCACAACATACATGGCACACATAAGTACAACGTACTTCGGCGAAAGATAAAACGCAGGAAGGCGACAGTTTGGCTAAAGTAATTTTTTTTGGCGAAAATGACGGATCCCGGATAAAGGAATTTAGATCAACTCCCACACATATATATATATATATATATCGCAACGGCATTTACAGACCCCCACAGCGAAGTTGGGGACGAACTCAACCACTAAAGATTGAGGGCCAACGGCCAACTTAGGTGTCTCTGGACTAAAGTCGGGTTTGTCCTGTCATTCACACGAATTTATGGCCTTACAAGAAACAACATATATCTTGAACTTTGTTGCAACCTCATAAAGAATCCGTCATCAGCTCGACCAATCCGACGCCAAATCCTTTATGCGCCCAACCCCCCCTCAAAGCTGCAGAATTTGTAGAACCAGCTCCAGGGACTATTAGTAGTTCAGTGCAAGTGATGGGACTATGATTGCATTCAGTCGTCCCTTGCAATGGATAGAAGATGCTAGTTCATTCAAGACTCTAAGCGCCGACCCTGAATGACTCTCGCAGACGGACTCTCGGTGCAGGAGTTGCGACCGCGATGCGAAGAGTTGCAACGAGAGGTGGGGCAATTGGCGCCCTATGCGTATCCATTTGTACCCCAAATGAGACCAAACTGTAGCTTTGTGTGAGGTTGGCTTAGGGTTTGGGCCCACGCTTTCTTTCAGGAATGACTTTCCCAAACAAATATCAGAACATCGCCTGGCATCAAAACACGACCAAGTTTGTATTTCATGACTTTTGCAACTTTTGCCCAATCACCGCTTTGAACCCTGCAAACCAATGATAACCACACGACAAGGCTTGGATTCGACATAGCTGATAGGGCTCAAGGGTTTTGCTGACATCACAATTCAATCATCAAAAGGCCAACATCAATACGAAAACTCACATTCTCATTTGTCCACATCGAACACTGCCTGCCGCATTGAGCACTTGTTGTTGGTCGAGGTTTGTGACCTGCGAGCGGCGCATGAGAAGTTAGCTGAGGAGACGTTCCTGAAAGTGGTGAGGGGACGAACGTGGTGGGAGATTCCTGAAAGGGTGTGATTAAATCCTCCTTTCACCACCCAGTTGGTGCACAGACAGATATTTTGTTGAATGTGTATATAAATCTTTTGAGAGATCCTCAAAACCAGCAGTCTGCAACTCGCCTTTTTCTTTGCAAAGAGATTGGCTGCTGAGCTGCTGAGCACAGCCGCTGTTGCCCCCCAACAGGATCGACAAGAGGCACTGCGCCGCAATGGCGAGCTGGCCAACATACAACAGCAATGCTGGGCACTGAGAGTTCCTGAGCTCCTGTGCACCTCCACTGCTGCACTGGAAGTGTTGCGTCAACTGCCCCTGACAATTGCTTCAACTGCCCTGACGCTGACCTCTTCCTTGCGTGCTCTTTCTTGATATTTGGGCTGCAGATGGCACCCTCTTCATGAATGGTATAGTGACCCTGGATGGAACGTGAATCCTGGATGGAACTGGAATTGCATTTTGACTTTTATCCATTTGCGACCTCCATACTCTATATCCCTTCGTTAGTTTGGTTTCGCTAGCATTGGCGTGGGGATTGCAAAAGGGAAGGGCTTTGCCCACGAATTGCTTGCTTGTACGCCTCGACACTAAATCACAGCAAGCAACTGGGTGGTCATGCATGGCTGCTTCTCCCATGCTCCCCTTTGGCCCAAGCATGTTGATTGCTGCACTTTTGGCACAGTGTCAAAGCTGATGGCCGGTCGCAAGTTGCCATGGCTTGCCAGCGTTCGAAGAGGAGTGGTGCTACTATTTTCATTTATTGACCATTTGCACGCTTGTTGACTCTCTTGAGGCAAGTCACTTTACCCATAGGAAGAGTTGGCAGTTTGCATACAATAAATCAATAACAGCTGAACTTATGTTTCATGCTCCTAGAATGCAACTGTTTATATAAGTGCACTGTGCACTCATGCAAGCCGGATGAAATGAAGATGGAACCAGGTGCTTCTCTTGAGTTCAGTTTTGTTGACTCTAATTTCAACAACATTGTCAGAATCTTGCAACCATTTGATGCAAGTTGAGTGTATATCGACTGTGGCTGTATCTAAGCTGGTGTTGGACCTGCAAATTCTCAACAATCAACATGTCAACCGTTCAAATGCCAACGACCACTGCAGAGTTGCTCGAGCACGCAGTGCTGTGTACTCGTTCCTGCCGGGTCGGACACGCACATCGACACCTGGGAGATCATGTGGTAAAGATGGAGGAAAGCAGGACGTTGGAGGCCATCGCCAAAGGAAAGGGAACCGCCCAAAGACCCCTACAAAAACATACAAACACCCACCAATGGTTCAATTGAAGAGCCAGGTGTCAACTTGGTTACCTCAAAACAATGGCCTTCGACAACAGACCCCCAAAACATGCGCACAAATGCCACACATGCCATGCATGCCACACGCGCACGTGAATATGTGGTGGGATCAATGGTTCATCCAACTTCATGTCATGTGGGCCAAAGTGCGTCGCTTGAGGCAGCCTCGCTTGGCCACATCACTCTTGGGAAGCTTGGCAAGCACGGCCTCCGACGCTTAACGTCGGAAGACCACCCGTTGGCACCGAGTTCACGAGCACCTGAAGAGGTCGTAGCACCGTTTGTGGCGCCATCACTAGACATGAACGCAATGTGCGTGTGTTTTTTTGTTTCCTGAAAGACTTCCCAGGAAGGCTGCAAGGAGACCAACTACCAGGAGGCGCTCTGAACTGTTTGGAAGACATGCAAGTGCAACAGGTCGACGCTCAGAAGGGTTGCAACAGTGAGAACGGAGAAGGGTTGGTGGGACATGGCCAGATTGTAACATTGAATATGGTAACATGGATTTCCAAGTATGCTTTCTTTCAAACTGTGGCTGGTGCCTTAACAATTCCAGCCTCTGGAGGACCAACAAGTTTCTACCAAATTCTAAACAATATGATATGAACATTTGCTCTAACTGTGGATTCTTAACAATTGTGTGACTTTTATTAAAGAATAAGTTTGACTTTTGAAGTGCTGCCAGATCCTTGCAGCTACCGTGCACACTGAGGAAGCTAATGTTTTTCACTTTACAGCTATCATCTCTGCCTGTGGCGACTCGGCTTATTCCAGGGCGGACCTGATGATTCTTTTGCTGAGTTGAACTTGTGCGCCCTCTTGCGTTGAGAAGCGAGGCAAAAACTCCAAATGGGAAGCTGCCCTGTTCTTCATGAAGGATATGGCAGAGTCTCAGGCAGGTTGGTGCACCTGTTTCGAAGAAGAGCCGTCACATAAGGAATATGTCTTCGCTGTCGCATGGCCACACCGAAGACCACGTCTCTCAACCGGATGATCTGAGGTGCTGGCCAACGAGGTGACTTACAGTACAGCAAAGAAGGCCTGTGCTGAAGCCCACCCAACAGCAAAGTGGAGAGAGGCAATTCATTTACTCAACGAAATGCCTCAGCTTCAGATCAAGCCGATGCCCAGCAGAAATATGTGAAGTTCATTCGTGCATTCCATTCGTTGTTCGTTGAGGGTTATAAACAACTGCAAGCCGAGAAGGTTCTACCCGCCTCTTCAGAACCGAGGAGTCCTGTCAGGTCTTTCTGTACTTTCACGTTTGGTGCTTTCACCTGCTGCTTTCACTTTCACCTGCTTTCTATAGATTCCATCGTAAATCATCTTAGGGATGTCTTCAGCAGCTGCTCAGCCATCAGTGGAACTGCCACACAGGGCTTGTGGCAACATGCGACGCTGGTACTCTTTGAGATGGACAACTCCAGATATTTGGACATAGAACAGTGAACAGCGTCGCACTGCAGAACTTTTCTTCACTTTGTCCGCTTTGATGACCCTCTGTTCTAGGTGGAGCGAACGATAGGAAGATGTTTTGGCCGTTCCTTTGTGCTGCCCAGGAATCCAGTCGAATGAGCTGACCAATTCCGCAATCATCAGTGCTTGCGAGAAGGGTAGACAATGGACATATGCAATCTCCAGCTTGCTGCAACTGCTACATTCTTTCACAGGAGACGTGATCACCTTCAGCACAACCCTCAGTGCACTGAAGACGGTGTGGGAATCTGCATTCAACTTACTGGGCATGATGCTCGCGCGCCAGGTAGTACCAAATACATTCACCATGAATTCAGTAATGGCAACGCGGAGTTGTGGGGGGCCAATGGCAACGACCGCTTATGATTTTGCATGCGCCGGAGCTCCAGCCGCTGATCGATGAAATTAGCTACAACTCGGTGATGACTGCATGTGAGGAGATCGAATTCCATCCAATACTTTTGTTGGGGTGTTCTTTCCTTTATGGGGATTCTGATGGGTTGAGCAGACTTCAACAAATGCTCTAAGTGAGGAAGACGGACACCTTCGTTCTGGTCGCCCCGTCCACCTCTCCCCAGGAGGCACAGCATTGGAGCCTTGCACTGGACCTCCTGGGATCGATGATGCAGCGTTTCCTGCAGCCCGACGAGGCCGGTCGGCGAGTCGGCTGGCCCTTGCAAAAAGAAACACGACGCCGTAAGAGTACGTTTTGCGTTCGCTTGGTGTTTCTTTTTTTTCTTGTCCATCTATTTATTGTAGCTAGGTCAAAGACGAGGGGCGGATGATCCTCCTATTATCAAGGGGTTCAAATAGTTTATTTAGATGAGAGATGGTGAGAGCGGATTGTATGCATGATGGATCATGATGGTATGTTATGGACACGACCACCTCCTTTCCAAAAAGCAAAGTGAGGAGCTTTCAACATCACTAGTTGTGTGAACAAGAAACGTGACGTGGGTCCTTTTCTGTAAAGCTGTAATTTCCCTCATCGCAGAGCAACAATCCTCCCGGCATATCACGGAGGCGTAGATATAACTATAAAGATCGATGAGTCGTTGGCCCTGCGGGCCTTGTGGGGCACAACCACTCATCAACCTATCTAGATCCTGTCCAGGTGACTTATAGCTCCATGGTCTCCGGCTATGAGCGCAGCCAGTGTTGGCGTGAAGCGCTGCACGCCCTGCGCTTGCCCCGCGACCGCATGGGCATCACTTGGACCTCGGCGGTGACCGCATGTGAGGCCTCGAGCCACTGGCAAGCCCCTCGGAGCCAGTGGCGAAGATCCCGAAGTCACGGAGCTGGCGATCACCGCCTCGGGGAATTACTTGTTGGTCGTTGGAGTCGATGTGGGTGAAATATGGCGAAATGCTACCTTGCTACATGTCGGGACGTTGCCATTTGCAAAAGATAGGCTGTCAAGCCGCCTGAACGAAATATGCCCTTGAAACAATTTGAGAGACACTGGGAGGTATGCGAGTCGTTCATTTGTTACACAGGCCGTCGACCGATATAGCACGCAGGCAGTGGTGTTCCATCGATTCCGTTCCACCCAGGCGGTCTTGCAGCTCCTGAGCCATGTGCTGAGCGACAGACTGCGCCTAGACACGTTGTTGGTCGCTGCAGCGCTTCGCTGCTTCGCCAGGGCCAGGCAATGGCAGAAGGCACAGCACTTCGCTGAGCTGTGGCAGAAGGCAGGAGGCGAAGAGGATGTGGTTTGCAGCCCAGCTGAGATCCGACCGGACCGAACCACGCGTTTGCAGCGAGGGACAAAGGTGGGACTCGTGCGACTCAAGGTGCGGAAGCCCTTGCCCAACCTAAGGCTCAAAACCAACATTCTGGTGGCAGTGCCAGCTGTCAGAGCAAACATAGAAATCTTGAATAATATATATATATATAATTTTATATACTATATATATATATATATGCATATAATGGAAGAACTAACTCTATTCTTTGAACATTACAGCAGTTTGTGAGGTATGGCAGCAACACTTGCTGCGTGTCATGGAGCGGGGCAATTCATCGAATCTTTGGAGCTGATGGGGAAGATCAGCCCAGCTGCAGTTCGGAACTGCTGCTCTTCGCCGGACAAAAGGGATGCGGTGCCTTCAGCTCAAGGGTACTTGGGTGCTCCAGCTTTTCTGATGTCCATGGCTGGAGCGCGACAAACAACCAGAGCGGTCCAACGGTTGTTTGAGTCAGACCCTGAACAAGGAATCACTTAACAAGTTGCTAAGTTTCCCCCAAAATCGAGAAACCAAATCATTAGTGCGTGAGCTATCCTACGTCCCAAGCAGTAGCTACTTAAGCTACTAGCTACTGTACCTCTTCTACGAGCTACCTAGCTACTACGCATACGGCCTAATCCCCCAGGCAAAAAAGAGGAATTGAGGCACAGGGCGCCGCAGAGCTCCCAAACCGGCAGCTTTCTTAACAGTGAGCTAGCGAGACCTCATGCTCCATTGAAGCAGACCGTCCGCCCCTCATCTTTAATAGGCTCTGTCTGGCAGGCCGAGGTTTGGTGTGTTTCATCAAAAGTAAAGGTCCAAGAATCAGAGCCGCTGGGCGAGTTGGTCATCGGCTTGGGTACAAGCTCAAGGGAGTCCACGAGAACGCAATCCTTTGAGGTGGTGTCGGTTAGTATTATTTGCCTTTCAGCTGAGGTGGTGTGGCGCAGCAAGCCTTGCAAGATCGAGATGTCGAGCTGCGCCAGTGCATGGGCCCAGCTGCAGTCCAACAGTCTCGTAACGTAGGCCGTTGGCGCAAAAGAAATTCTGTTGCGAGCGTACTCAGAAGACCAGCCGGTTGTGCCAGCAATTTGTGTCGGAACCCTTTTTGCATCTATGCCATTCTGCCATATTCTCCCCTGGTTGGCTTGAGGTTGCAAGAGCAACAGGCGCGCTCTGAAGAACAGCCTGAGACTCGGACATCTCGGGAAAGAGGAATGGGGAAAGAGTTCGGATCAACCCCCAACTGGCACGAGATCTACTTCGCCTCGGCCACTCTGCACTCGCCACATTCGCTTCATGGCCGGCGAACGAGTTCGGCCGATCTGCGAACTCCAAGCTCGCAACACTGAGGTGGAAGGCTCAGATTGTGAAGCTGGTGGAGGAGATGCGAAGGGCGGAGCAGAAGTCCTCGACCTTGGCCAAGGACCAGTGAGATGAATTTGCTGTGAAGCAAGATCACTGGGTGGGAAGAAAATATGGGAGCATGACAACTCAATATTCAACATTGGTCCGGAGTCCTTTGGCAATTCTAAAGGATTCCAGTTACAGTACTTGTTGCATGTTGATGCCAAACTCGTTGCTGACATTATCGTCTTGATACCAAACTTGTTGGTGACACTTGACGTCTCTTAGGGTTTCCTAATAGCTCCTCTCAAGGAGCTGGCAGCTTCCAAAGGGGAGCTGCAACGCCTGAAGGCCGGTGGTCAGGATGTGGTTCGGCGCTACGAGGCGTGAGAAAGGGCTGGCGGGCTGGCTGACTTGGAAGAAACGATATATGATGATATATGTATATATATATATATTTTACTTTGCACATTTGCACAACCTATAATTTATCATATAGGTAAGCATAGTTTCAAGAGGTGTTTCCTGCTGATATAGGGCTTGAGGATGAAACTGGATTTAGGCAATTATCATTCTGCTTTTCCAAAGCCAACTGTGATGAGTCCACTCACTTTCTGTGAATCTTGATTGTTCTGTACCAGTTTGAAAGGAGGAAAGCGGCCGCCGATTGGAACTGGAAGAGCGTTGCTTGCAACTGGAAGAAAAGGCCGGTGAATGGTTGCCTCTCTGGCACTTGTGCGTGATGCCTTTAAATCTACCTTGAGGATTCTTGAGGATCGTGCTTATCAACACCACAGTCTAGAGCTTCAACAGCTATCTCACTCCTGTTTACTCTAGCTGTTGACATGCTTCATCCGGATACCGTATATATCGTACTTGAATGTACTCGACAGATAAAGCATGCTGCATGAAAGGACTTAAACATCTTGGCTTCTGCGCCAGTTAAAAACTCGCGAGCAAAGAACTCGCAATGATGCTGACTGCGCACACAAGCTGAAGCAGTGCCAGCAGGCCGGGTTTGTCATCTTGCTTCTGGATTCACGCTGTGAACAGCCCTAGTAGATGGAGACTAGTCCCTCTTGCAGAGATGACAAAACATCACCTGGTCTTACCTGGCGAATCATAGAAGAGCCAGCTCAATCGTAATTACGTCACTTGAGGCAAAAGAGGTGGCCGAACAGCAAGCCAAAGAGAATGAAGAGTCAGTGGCTTAAGTTTTCATCGGTGATGGCGATGTTTTCAGCTGCCGGCCACACACCGAAAAATCCGAAAAGGAAGATGATGAAAGATGTGTCTTCCCAGACCCGAGACAAAGCTGGTTTGTCAGTTCACAAGGATAGACGTGAACTCAAACTCGAAGACTATCCAAGACTCACGTTCTTGGCTTCTGAAGCCTTACTGGATACCCAATTGATTGTCTACTCGTATTTGAGTGAACACTTGCTGGACAATGCATGTGAAGGTCTGGGAAGCTTTGTTGGAGACCCAACAGTTGCACCGAACATTTCTCCCTGACCTCATCCTCAGGGTTTTGCTAGTAGCTTCTTGCTCCGTTCGTAGCGAAGCCCTTTGTTCCTAGTAGCTTCTTGTTTCTATATAGTAGTATGGCCAGGAGCTACAAGTAGCTTCTTGCTCCTAGTCAGTTTTGTGTTGGCCGTCTGCGTTAAGCACGAAGGCGAAGCCAGAAAGCTGCTGAACGGCTGGAAGAGGTCTGGTTGCTGAACTGAATTGAGAGCACTTGTGCTTCAGGGCTCACTGTTGTGCTACACGGAAGAAATTGGGAATCGTTTCACTCAAAAAGCCAAGCCATCGTTTCACTGGGAATCGTTTCACCTGTAACAATCAAGCTTTCTGGAGTATGTCTTTGAAGCTTCCTTGGGAATCTACCACATTCTACCCCAGAACCTCGAGGTGTCGTTCGCGGGTGTGGTGCTGCCTTCATCCGACGACTGCGTTGTATTTCGTGTATTTGCTCACAATCGAGACTACTTCAGAAAACATCAGAAAACCGATATCAAAGCCACGAAAACCAGGCTTCGGACGTTGAGGCACCAAGGATCACTCACACCTGTCAGGTGGAGTCAAGGCAGAAAGACCTGGAGGCAGAGGTGCAGAGGCTGGGTGAGACGTTCGGCAACATGATCTCTCTCTCTCTCTCTCTGTATATAATTCTATGTATGTATATATATCTTTAGTTATTTCATTTGTCCCGGTTCGCCGTTGGTTGATTCGTTTTTATTTTCATTTTTTCTTTTAGAAGTAAATTGTTATAAACTATTGTTAGGGAAATGGGTAGCAGATTTGCAACAGATACAATCGTCACAGGGCTAGCATCGAATTCCGCAACGGACATCTCCCCAAAAGCTTCTAGCCAATGGTACCCAAAGTCACAAAACTGCATCCCCATTACCAGAGTAGATGAGTTCCATTCACTGCTGAAAGGCTCAAGCTGCAATGTTCAGAAAAGAGCCGGCGCATTGAGGAATTGGAGGCCTCTTACTAGGGGGGCTTGAAACCAGGATAATACAAGGAAAGCGGGCAAATCAATCCAAGGTTGTAAAGATGGATCATTGATTTGTCAAGATCACAGTCTCCATTGTTCGTCGTTGACATTGTCCGATTCATTTGTGAGCCACGACTCCCGGAAATCCTGACAGAATGAATTATACAACATAATTCAACTACTACTATGAGGTATTATGCAAGTTGGCTAAGAAGAGAGTGGCAATTGAGTGTGGGAAACATTTGTGCTGAGCTTCATTCTTTGCACCAGCTTCCTGGACGTGCACACACAATCTTTAACAAGCGTGGCACATGCTTGTATGGGCTGGCGCATCAATAATGGCCATCAGATAGGATCCAGTGGCCGGAGATTGCAGCCTTTTGGTTTGTGACGTGTTTTTCTGCCTTTTGGTTTGGCTTCACGCCTGGACCTACGTCTCATAACCAAGCTATATACGTCTCATTTTCAGGCTGCATCGGTGCAAGAGATGGAGCCGCTCGGGCCCTCGCCCTCAGGGCCTTCATCAGGGCCCTCAGGGCCTTGTTGGCTCTTCATGATGTTGCGTTGAATTGATGAAGCTCTTCATATTTCCTTCACAAGCCTTTTTAGCATTTCATTGATGTCACCACCCAAAGAGAAGCATTGCGTCCTTTGGTGTCTAAGGCCAAGCGGGCCGCCACGGCCGCCGATTCCCAGAAGGTGGATTTGGGCGGTCTTCGACGGTGAATTCGAAGCTGTCTACTTCTTACACTCCCAACAGTGTTGAACTTGACATCAAGCATGATTCGATCAAGGGCGCACAAATCCTCAAGCTTTGAGCTAGTGGTGATCAAGGGACTCACTGCTTCGTCTGGCTCTCTCTTCGCCAACCCGGCTCCTTTGCTGTGAATTTCGAGATAATATGGCCACTCTCAGCCTCAATTCGTTGTTTGCCACACTCACCGAAAGTATCCAACAGCACTCTTGCAGAAGCACACCTGTCGCCAGTCGTCCTGGGACCGCCAGCAGCGCTGGCAGTGCCAGCGTAGGCACAAGCAGTTCATCCCTTAGCGACAACCGAAGATTCTTTGTGAAGCGCGTGAGAACTGTAAAATCATCATCGATTGGTTTGCGTGATTTTGTATGGTCGGTGCAGATTGCACAAGTCTTGGTGATTGCCCGATGTGCGATGAGCGTCTCGGGTGGATACTCAGACTGAGCGTCTCGTGTCCCAGGAGTTGGTGCTGGAGACTCCAGGAGCCCCGTGAGTTGGTGAGAGGGTCAAGGAGTCATAAAGTTTAAAGACATATATAAACCACTCAGTTTAAATCACATACACCTTGAAAAGCCTAGAGCTCCAGGAAGAGCAACAAGAATTCATGCCTAGAAGATCGGTCAAGACTTAGTGATCCTGGAGTTGAGGAAGCTCAGAACGCAGCCGCCCGCCTTTCAGAGACCTGACCTTAGGCTGATGGTCTTCGACAAAAGACGCAACGACATGGTCACATGGTCAGATCATTGTCCTGTGCAAGCTTGTCAAAAAGATCAAAAAGGGAAACATATCACCGGGACCGAGATAGCCATACTTGCATACACACACATATATACTGTATATATATATATAATATTGCCAACATGCGTAAACGAGTAATCCAAGATTGTCCCGTAGTTTGATTTCGGCCTGGAAACAGCTATATAGACCCTAGGTCATGGTGAGCGCCTGCCTCCAGGCAGGATCCATCAGAAAGGATTGCTGGGAAGCTGCCAGGAAACACGAGTTAGGAGACTTTCGAATCACGAGTTCTGATCCTGAATTTGCTTGGTATTCTGAAGGTGCGATTCGCCGGGGTGGAAGCGTACCTGTTCGACGATCCCAAGGCTAAGATCCTTTTTTTGGGGGGATCCTCATGTCAACATCACTGTGGACATGATCATCGTTTGCTAATAAGTGTCCCACACATTTCTCTTTAATCTATTGTGCAATATGTACATAGAAATGATTACTGTATACAGATTATATGGCTATATATATATATATATTTGTCGTATCCATATCCATAAACAGTTGGTCCATTTCTTCGACCTAGAGCGGTGGCCCAGCACCCTGAGGGCCTCCTCCGCGCGCCAACCTTCAATCCCGGAGCATCAGTCCGAATGCCTCAGCATCGCAGAGGCGGACGCTGAGTGCACGAGTGCTGCCTAAACGGGTTGGGATTCTTAGGAGAGGATGTTCCTAGTAGCTTCTTGTTACTAGTAGTAAATAGTAGTAAGGCCCGGAGCCCCTAGTAGCGTCCTTGCTCCTAGTGCTAAGGCCAGGAGCCCCTAGTAGCGTCCTTGCTCCTAGTAGTAAGGCCAGGAGCCCCTAGTAGCTTCTTGTTCCTAGTGTTAGAATCTGCGATGTTTGCAGAAGGACCTTGCATGTTTGCAGGACACCACCCAGTGCCCGGACCAAATCACCTCAAACCGAGAGGCTCGGGGGCCCCAGAATGAAGCGAAGCAGACCTTGGCAGTCTGTCGGAGATGTAACTCGCAACTTTCTTGATGCCTTCGGGCCTCGCTTTGCAGGCCTGTCAGCCAAAGCAGCTATGGCAGCTGTGGAGAGGAAAGGGTTTGTTGGTGTTGCAGGGTCTCCAGTTGGTTTATCAATTTCGGAGCTGAGCTCGACCTGTCCCTCTGGGTTCGGATCTTTTCCAAAGCCCCAGAACGCTACCAGCCCGCAGATTGTTAGCTCAGAATGCGCGTTCTATGTTTCGACTTGCTAGACTCCTCTGCTTGCAGAAGCTAGCTACTGTAGACGCTACAAAAGACCAGATCCAATTTGATTTTACTTAAACTTACGACTCGAGAGTTCTGCCTCCTCCGATTCTTGGTATGTGGTTCTTCAACTTGGGTTCTTTGCCTTTGAGAACAAGAAGCTACTAGGGGCTACTAGTAACAAGAAGCTACGAGGAACATGGGGTTGCCACCGACCCGGAGGGCCTGTCTCTTCAGGATGGCTTTGATGGCATCCCCACGGACTCGGAGGACTCCTCCGAGGAGGAGGCACCGTCCGCGAGGACGGGAGGACGCGTGGAGCGGACGAGCTCGTTCCGGTGAAGAACAGAGCACGGTGAGATGGAGCGACCCCCAGCACAGCTCTCATTGCACTTCAAAAGGTGGATTAACACCATTTTGATGGTGATATATTGTGGTCTCAGTGAGGTTTCGGTTCGGTTGGAATCGGTTTGAATGTTTAATTGAATCTTCGAATCGGTTCGGTTTGGTTGAGGAAGCTTTTGTTCATGCATTTTCGGTTCGGTTCACGGTTCGTTTCGGTTCGGTAAGGGATAAGTTACCCTGTGAGACAAGACAAGAAATAGATAAGACAAACAAGACCAGAGAAGACAAAACAAGACATGATGTGATGTGACATGTCATAGCAAATCAAGATCTACTTGGTAGATTTCCTGTCCAATATGCTTTCTAGACCGCCTGGAAAAAGCATATTCACAAACAGCTGTCTTTTCCTCAGCTTCTCATGGCTCAGAGGTTGTCTTGACTTACTTGTTGTCGACACGATGTCCCTCATGGTGCCTTCGTACATGATGCCAGAGCAGCTGCGCTTGGCTCGTGTGCAGCTTTGTGTGGGGCTGTTCCTGTTCAGACCTGCAGCGTTCAGCCCTGCAGCAGCGCAACCGCACGAGCAAGCAGAGCGGAAGAGCGGAAGACCTCGTAAGGGCACAGCTGTGGCTGTGCAGGGCACAGGCAAAAGTGGCCAGTGTCGTCAGGTGGGGGTTGAATATGCTTTTTTCTGCTTGATGCAAATGCATATTTGGCTGCCTAAAGTCCTAAAGGTGTTTATGATGGGCCGCCTTCTGTTCTGAGTGCTTAAATGCTTTTTGCGAATCGGAAAAAATGCATTTTGGAGTTGCCCTGCACATGGCGCAGGCGGACCAGCAGATTCAATATTTGCAGAGCCGCCCTGATGTTGCTTGCTTGACGAAGACTTCCATGTGTCGCTTGACCAAAGAGATCTTGCAGACCATCGTCAAGGAGCGCAACAGTCAGAGAGACCCATGGCTTCCGTGCAAGGAAAACTCCTTGGCTGAGCTCAAGATCTCCGCGGCAGCTCTAGCCGTCCTCTCTCATGCCGCTGAAGCATACGTGGTTCAGAGGCTGGTGCAGGGCAATGTGCTCGCCGCTCACCGTGGGAAGAAGACTTTGACTGAGAAAGACCTTCAAACTCTGCAGACAGTGGAGGAGGTTGCGGCTGGCCATGTTTGCAAGAAGCCGAGAACACAGTGAGGGCGGTTTTTGGGTCGATGGCCTAGGGTGTCAATGCTACGCATTGTTGTAGGGATTTGTGTCAAGATGATGCTCTTGAGCTTGAAAATGTGCTAGATTGCATTTGTAGTGAGCACGCTTCTTGAGCTTCTTGAGCTTTGTCAGTGTGTACGCTTCTTGTCAGACATGCTAGACTGCATTGTAGTTGTGTCGAAGGGATGCATTTTTTCAATATGCTTTTTGCAGCAGTTGGTAAATGCACATTGCACATTCCAAGCCTTGCGTTAGCCTTACTAGACTTGTGATGCTTGGTTACTTACATTTGGTTGCACGGACTAGAGGAACATGAACACTCTTGTGCCGTTGATTTTAGGAGCTCGAGAGCTGTCCAGTAATGTAGATGTTTTTTGACCCCATGTGCTACAAATGCCTGCTGCCGCAGAAAGAAGCTGGGTGCACAGGGAATTCTGGCCGGCAAGACCAGGAGTGCCTGTGCGGTTTTGTAGAAGGTGCAACGCAGTTGAGCCAAGTCTAGAAGAAGTACAGAATGTGATCGATCGTGGTGGCAAACCACGCCGACACTGGAAAGGAGCTTGCGGCTTCGCCAGCACCAGTACCAAAATGCGTTTTCCATTGTCCAAAAAAAGCATTTTCACACGAAAGCCACCGATGACTCCACCTTCCTTAAATGCTTTTTTAACCAGAAAGAAAAAGAATATTTGTAGTTGACTCACTGCAGCAAGGTTCGCAAGCAAGTGGAAGCTGAGATGTTGCACTATGAGCGCCTGAATGTCACAGGAGAAAGCCCTTTGTCTTGGTGGCGCAGCCATGAAGGACAGATGCCAGTGCTCGCCCAGTTTGCGCAAGCGGCTCTTGGAGTGCCTGGCTCCAGCGCAGCTTTGGAACGGCTTTTCTCGAAAGCCGGTTTGTTCATCACCAGGCGCCGCCCGCGCTTGAAGCCGGGCCGCGCCAGTGACATGTTGTTTGGGCACGCCAATGTGCAAATGCTTCTGTGACCTCGGACAGCCCTCGAAGAAACGTTGCGGATCTCGGAGCAGGGGGGAATTCCGGTTCGTAATTTTTTCCGGTTCGGTTGTGATGGGATAATTGACGGTTGTAATGATTCGGTTGATGAAAAATTTCGGTTCTTGACATTCACGAGGTTTCGGTTCTGAACAAACGGTTCCGAATCGATTCGGGACCCTTCCTGCTGTGGTGATCCTATCAATATCCATGTTATTTTTTCCGTTGTCGACTGGCCAACAGTTTGCCATAGTTTGCTTCTCCTTGCTTGTGCAACATGCACAGGTCTTGACTGGCGTGAACACAGCAGCTTGAGTAGTCATTTTTTTTCGTCATATGGCATGGTGCAGTTTGCAACTGTTTAAATGATTCAGTGTCATACGATTGTCGTCATTTTGTTTCAGACACCCCGATGTTTGTGCTTTTTGTAGGCAGTTTGTTCCCAATCTGAGCATTCTAGAACTGTTCCGTATCATGTGGAACATGACCAGTCAACTCAGCAGCCATACTCAATGGATTTGCATGCACGAGCGATCATCTCCACCGGAAAAAATGAAGAGATTCACGAGGTTGACACTTCGATGTTCTTATATAGGTGTTCTAAGATGTTCACCTTGGAAGCTATTAGGTTGGAGACCATCGCTATTAGGTTGGAAGCTGTGGAAGATGTTCCGCTGAAGCTGGTCTTCACATGAACCGCAAGCCCTAAGATTCTAGCGAGCCGGTGGACGAAGGTTCCGAGAGGTCAATGGCCAGCGGAAGAATGGAATGGATGTAGCCGTATGCGGTGTTGCGTATAGCTATCCTGTTACAGCAGCTTGTAAACATAGACTGGAGCCTTTGATTTCATCTATACAGTGGGAGCAACGTAATTACATGGTCTTTGTAAATGCTTTTGGCCTTGCATGCGGATTGCTCAAGGGGGGATCGGTTTCATCAATCCAACTTCACACAGCAGAGTCCTTGCTTTTTCTCTGATTCCATGATACAAAGCTGCCCACTGGAATCAACACATGGCTTCCAAGTACACCAAGCCAGCGTGAATGATACAAAAGCTAGCCAGCTGTAGAATTACTCTATTCCTGGTCTTTGAACCTCCTTGCAGCCCATTGCCTTGGGTGGCATGACGGAACCTTGGGCTTGTCAGTGCAGATGTCCTGGCTGACTGGCATGTAAGTGTCCACCTTTGCGAAGAATCACCTGCTGTTTCATTTAGAAACAATATGAAACAATCTGAGCTTTCTTTCTCCTCAACCAAGTCAATACGTATATGCGTGTTTTTGGGTTCACAATGCACCGTCCTTGACTTGCTTATAGCAGATGTAGTCAATTTGTGCTCGATGGTGGTCTCAGGCTTTGGGTGCTATGTGGCTATGCATTAAGAACGTGGGGAATCATAAATGGGTGTGTATCAAACTAGGGAGACCTCCCAAAGGTCCCTGGAAGAAGGAACATAGATCAAAACCCGTTGGTTGGGGGTCTCCCTATCAAAATACACACCCAAATAGGTCCGGTGTGTGATGTGCTGACATTCTTTCCTTTTGGTGTTTGCAGTCCGCCCATCCCTTTGGACATAATTGGTCAGAATGCGCTCAGGAAGCAAAAAGAAGCTCTGAGACTGAAGAAGTGCCAGGGGCCGAAGAATACTCTATTGGCAGTGCTCACGTTGGGGCTGGAGCTCCAAAAGAATGGCACATTTGTGCACACAAACGGAACTGCCTGGAGGTACACACACTTATGGATATGCGTACTGAACTGACAGCGGTGCCACACGCCGGCCTAGGGTTCCATTTCCTAAGAGTATCAGTAGGAAGCCATCGAATCCTGGAGGTCTTAAAAGGAAAGGAGGCCCAAAGCACAAGGTCGAGGTCGGCGATCAGGTCGAAGTGACGGCGTGTCGTGCGTGACTGCGGCAACATGAGGTACCAAGTCTTGAGGTTCTAGGCTTGGTCTCTTGCCATTCGGAAATAATGGAAAATCGCAGGTACGTCTGGCTGATCAGGCCAGATATCAGCATGGAGCTTGACCCTCTCCGTTGGATCACCAGTCAATTCCGTGGGTGATCTTATCCTCTCTGAAACTGTTGGTCCTTTTTGACCACGAACCCCTGCTGAGTAAAAACACAATTCAAAAGAATCCCTGTGACTACAAGGGGCACACACACACGCCTCCCCGAGGGGAGGCGTAAAGCTAAGGTGAGGGCCAATGTGCACGTGTGCGCGCACAAGACAAAAGAATGAAGACATGACAGGAGGACGAGACGGGACAAAGGTGCGTGTGGTTGAAATGAAAGGGGAACCAAGTGCACAGGGACACCCGATGAAGCCCACCTCATTGCAAAGACCTGGGCGACCTGAAACCTGTGTTTAAAGGTATGTAGAAGTGCACGTACACACTAAGGCCGGGACCAATGTGCACGCAAACGAAGACAAGGATGAGATGAACAGACGTGAAGACAGGAAGACATGAAAGAAAAGAGGAGAAAAAGTGTGTGAAGGGGAAGGGATGAAAGGGGAACCAAATGGAGGGGACGAGAACCAAAGAAACCAAACCTCATTAGAAGCACCTAAGAACCTGCCTCGTTTGAGTGTAAGCGCTGTGTGTGCACCTGAGGTTGGGACAGGTTCCAATGAACCTTGAACAAACTTCGGTCGCTGCGACCACGTACGGCATGCCCGAGGGCGGCCACCTCTGACCGCTACGGTCACGTAAAGGCGTGAGCCAACTTGGAATTCCAAAGATGAGACAAACGTCCCAATTCTTGAGGCATGAGCCAGCTACTGTCCGCTGCGGACATCTACGTTCCCAGAGCCGGGGAACATGGACAAACCCCCGTTCGACATGTTCGACGGGTCCACGGGAGGCACTCTGCGGGCTCATCCCGGGTTGGCACAAGGCCAAACACACTTATGGATATGCGTACTGAACTGACAGCGGCGCCACACGCCGGCCTAGGGTTCCATTTCCTAAGAGTATCAGTAGGAAGCCATCGAATCCTGGAGGTCTTAAAAGGAAAGGAGGCCCAAAGCACAAGGTCGAGGTCGGCGATCAGGTCGAAGTGACGGCGTGTCGTGCGTGACTGCGGCAACATGAGGTATCAAGTCTTGAGGTTCTAGGCTTAGCCTCTTGCCATTCGGAAATAATGGAAAATCGCAGGTACGTCTGGCTGATCAGGCCAGATATCAGCACGGAGCTTGACCCTCTTCGTTGGGTCACCAGTCAAGTCCGTGGGTGATCTTATCCTCTCTGAAACTGTTGGTCCTTTTTGACCACGAACCCTTGCTGAGTAAAAACACAATTCAAAAGAATCCCTGTGACTACAAGGGGCACACACACACACCATTCGGATGGACCAAATTTTACTACATCGAACGATGGCCGCTGTACTTGATGGATGAATGGGTTCAGAGATGCTCAGAGGAAACAGTTCTGGACAGTGAAGACAATCGCTGATGGACTCCCGAGCTGATGTGTATGTACTGTTGAGAAGAAAGGATGGCTCCCAGACCATCCATGCGACTGGAATAGTTGCCTACATTGGGGCCTTGGGGTCACAAATACTAGTAGGTATACATATAAAATATAGTTAAGTTCCCTAAAACTCTAAGAGCCAAATGATTAGTGCGAGCGCTTCGTCAAGGAGCGTGAGCTATCCTGCGTCCGGTCGGTAGTAGCTGCTTAAGCTACTAGCGACTCCCGTTTGCTTCTACTAGCTACTTCTTCCTACCTCCTACCTCTTCTCAGCCTACCCCCCCACGGCTTTAACTGTTCCAGTCCCATGGATGATTGGTGGTTTCATGTGGTTTGATGGTTTTGTCATGCGCATCGTCGGTCTGAAGGCGCTTCTCCCTGTCTCCTCTCTGTGGGCCGATCGCTTCGTGCTTCGCTTCAGCCAGTTTTTCCTGCCAGCTCAGGCTTTTGGGATTGAGCCGAGCAGAGGCAAACATTGTGGCGCGACCTAGTTTTTTTGGGCATGGTTCTTCCGTTTCAAAACAATCATGAGCGATAGTACTTCTTCGATGAGACTGAAAGAGAGGCAAATGAACATCATGCCAAGATCAGGGCATAGGACCCTTCAACTGATGGTTCTGATATTCCTGCGGAAGCTGATTGGTTTTGGAGACCAAAAGCTTTTGTTGGTGCTGTCATCGTCTCCTCAAGTTATATAAATGAACAAGCACGTAAACACATCCGTTGTCACAGTCATGCTGCATGCTCTTCTACAATCTCGCTGCGTCATAGATAACTGGTGAGCTTTTATTCAAAGCGTTTGCTAGAAGGACGAGTTGTCCTCAGGTGTGTATATATAATATATATATATACACCCTTACTGCATTCGAGTAGGACTCTTCCAAGCGGAATTCACTGAGGAGAAGCAGGAGGACGAAGTGAAGCATGCTAGACTTGAGGCTGCAAACGGTTTGGACCTTCTACGGAAGTCTGGAGATCTGACCTTGGAACAACCATGGACACTCGTTTCTCCACCCAAATAAAGGCAGAAGTTTCAGACCGAGATGCTGGACAAAACGCGAAACCGCCAGGTGAAGCTCCGTGAGATGGTCTTAGAGGTAGGGAGACGTGATTCGAACCGTCTCCATGGGCCTTCTTTTTCATTCGTTTACTTTTTAAAAAGACTGGGTCCTTTTGCTTTTTTTGCTTTCCATTTTTTGCTTTATGTTTTCAATTTGTTTTCATTCCTTCTTCCCTTATCTTCCCTTCCTTTCTGAAGAACAACTACTTGCATGTTAAATGGGAGCTCGAATGAATTGAGTTATGTTTGGCGTCCTACTTTTCGCGGTCTTTTTTTTTTTCACGAACACATTCACATGATAAAGAGAGGTTTACCGTGTTTGGTGCAACGTGTTGAGAACTGGGCAGGTGGTGGCTCCGACGGTGGAGCGTGCCGTTCGCATGCAAAACCACTGTGAGGCAGCTCAGAGGTTTGTCTATCTTCAATGTCAAGATATGGCAAACTGAGCAGTTCCTTTGCCAAAGGGCAAACAATTGCATGAAATGCTTATGTGTGTCTAGAAATATGGTTGATACCGTGAACGAACTGATTTTCTGGAAGAGTTTTTGAGCAAGCCTGGCTTCGAGCTGGGCTTTGAGACAAGCCCAGTTCTTGGGAGTTCTGGCAGGAGTTACCAATAGTTGTGGGATTTATTGAATATTTGAATAGGGAGACCCAAAACCATTGGGTTTTGTTTATTTTTCTTCTTCTAGGGGTTCTTTCGGATGTCTGCCTATTTCAACACACACACACACTTCACACACCCAGTTGCAAGTATTTCTCACTTGAAAAAGGAACGCACACCTGATAGAACCCACAAACCTGAATGAACACACGTAGCCCAAACAATGTTTGACACTCTTGCGTGGCACTCTCCAAAGACGCACAATCTT